TGAACTGTAATTGATGAATTACTGGAGGCTTAACATGGACAAATCTAGGAGTTAAAAACTCCAGGGGTCCCAATCATAAGGGGCCCCCATAATATTGTGATTTACCTCCAGGAGCTTGATCAGGTTCCCACAGCAAATATCGGAGGAAAAAAACCCCTCGTGCTTCCCGCAGGGGGAGGGGGAGGGGTAAAAGGAACCATTTTGAAATATGCTAGAGCACTTTGTTCTTAAGGCTTTATAATGCCTGCTCTCTGGGGAAACAAGTTAACCAGAGTGTAACTGACCTAAAGGAGAGAAATACCCACCTCCAGCCCACTCTAGCCATCCTGTCCCACCTAAGGGAGGAGAAAAAACCTGCAACAGTGGTGGGTCGTCTCAGAGCTCAAGTTCAAGATACGACCTATTTTGGTCACCCTCAAAAGTCTATTTGAAAGGCCTCACACCTGACACAAACCAATGATGACACTCTATTTACTATACCCCACATTCCACTGGGATAAAGAGGCAAACATGGACCTGAAGGAGAAACCTGAACACACTGCACAAGTGCCCCACCTTGCTTATGTGGAAACACAAGCCTCCTCTCTTGGATTAAAAGATCCGAGAGTTCCTAGAATAGCAGCTCATCAGAATACCTTGCGGGCTTCTTCAAAACAAAGATACCCTGGCTTCATACTGAGAGGCAGCCTCAACATTTGGGCTCTGGTATACAGCCATGCTTGAGAACCCCTGCTCTAGACCCCTCTTGGAGATCTTTTGAGAGCACTCACACCAGGAGCGGCCATCGTGGATATCCATCTGCACAGCCAACTTGGCCTGTCGGACACTGTCCATGACATGGCGAGAATGTTCATCTCCAGAGTCAGTCCGCAGCTGGCGAAGCACCATTGACAGGTTTTGAAGGGAGACTTTGTTCTTGCACTGCCAATGGAGAAGACATATACTCAACCTTCCTACTACTGTTTCCCCTTTCTACATCTATTCTATCTCCATCTTCCTAAATCTAACTTGTCATCTTAATTCTTACGGCACGCCATCTGTATCTTAGACCCACATCTACAAGCAAGGATCAACTTGGCTGCTAACTCTTCTTTACTTCCCATCTGCCCTTAAACCTGACCCCCTTATCTTCTTCCTTTCTCAATCCCCTGTCCCTGTTTTCATCATCTAGGTCTGTTCCCCCACACGTCCTCCCTTTTGTTCTTCTCCTAGTTCCAATACAGTTCTATTCTGCTATTCACATCCTAGGGAAATTCATAGA